AATGGCTTGGCCATAGAAAAATCACATAAATAAATCTGTCTATCGAATACATATAAATATATTAATATTCTAAAATATCTAAAATTTGAGGAAACCATCGCGTTTTTATAGCAGTTACGATAGAAACTATTTGATGATTTCGTTTGTTTTCTGTTCGGGTTTGTTTTCAATGCCAGTCGCTTCGATTCGAATATTATGCCTTAATTATGTACTTATCCAAATTAAAATAATTTTTTCAATTGGCGAATACCGCAAAAAGTTATGTACTTTACTCGTCCGTCACACATCATTGTATGTAAAACAATGTGTTTATGTGTTCCATGACAAGTGAGAATTGAAGCAAATAAGCTGGTTTAATAATTGCATTGTTCTACCGTAAACGCAGAGCCACTTCGGCAATAAATGAAGGTGAAATCGCAACTTATCAGGGGCATTAGCGGCCGCCATGTCTGTGCAAATTGAAAAATTGCCGTCTCGCGGCGCCCTAATGAGCACGGCGTCTGTCGCACTAATGCCCGGATTGGCTGCAAACCTCTCAAGCGCCACTCGCCCTCGGATTTTCTTATTTGTACCGAATTTTACTGCTACTTTTTTAATAGGTTATCTTGTATGGAACAATATTTGTACTACGTGTTTACCAAAAATACGACAGGGAAGATTCACCAAAAAAGTTTGGATATGTTTGTGAAAGAGAAAAAGCAACATAATTATGCAATTAAAGTGCTTGTAAATTAAAGAGCTCATATGTAATTACAATCTTATACATATAAGGCATTTTCGGTGTTAGGACTCTCTTAAATTCAAGCTTGCTTTAACCAATCGAGAAAGTTACATTTCCCCCTACGAAATATCATGTAATTATAATTTCATTTGAGGAATCTCATAGAATCAAAGAAAAAAAACTTACAGAGGTAAATAAATATCTCACAGACTCCGTTAGCGTGGGGAGCATTTTAAAGTGTCAAATAACTTGTTATAATAACACAATATTAAGGTGCCTCCCGTACCGCGGCTCATTAGCACATCGTCAGGCGGGGCAGGGGGGGGGGGGACCCTCGGCGCTGTTCCTTCTGCAGCTCCTTCATTTACATGCGAGTTTAACGCATTGTGCTCCAGATTTCGCTGTTCCCTAATAGTGTTGAACGGCAGACCATGTCTCTTAAATGAAGTTAATAATGGAGCGCTCTTACTCGCCGAGTAACTTCATCGTACCGCTACAAAAGGTTTCACCGACATCGTCTTGAATATCATTGAAGTGAATTGAAAATTTCCTTAATAGTTCTCTAATAATTCTTCAGAGGTGGTCAATATCACACATTCTCCATTCATTATAAATGCAGATCATTATTAGACATGTGCCGATAGACATAATTATATCATTTGCAGTCGTCACACGGAGTAATAATTATAGAAGGAAAGCGATCGCGACGCGTCCAATGGGCGGAGCGTCTGACTGTCCGATACTCAAAGGCAGTCGATGTGGCCGTCAATTCATCGCGGCGTAATTAATAGACAAATGTTCTAAAACGGTTAAATTGTATTTTTTTCTAGTAATTCTAAAACGATTAAGGACGTATTCGTAGCTTCGCTTACAAATATCGATTATACGAGTACCATCGAATAAGGTCGAATTACCGACGAAATATTTTATTGATCAAAACAGTTAGAAAGTTGTGAAATAGCACAATGAAAGAAGCTGTAATTTCCCGGTTTAAATTGTACGTTATAATTTTTATAAGTAACACTTCCATTCGCTGAGAGTAAAAAATATTGTCTTGATTTTAATTTGGATCGTGAAAACTGTATTGAATAGCTGTGAAACGATATCCAAGTAATCCCCGCTATCTGTCTTAATATAAATTGTCACTGCTCTAAATCATCGTAATCCTGTTCGATAAGTTGTTTTAATATAGGTAACACCAACATTAGTGAGCCTTCGTGTAAAAAACGAGTGGCTCGCGAAATCTGTTGATTTTTTTTGTTTATTGTATTGATTATTATGTTTATTATAGACCTGATTCAAAGAGTTTCCTATATTTACACTTTTATTTGCAACTTCATCATAATTTTGTCACAAGATGTTTTTTTACACAAGCTATACAGAATTCCGCTATGATTTGTAATACTTTTGGAACGTTAATAGATGACTTTTCCAATTTAAACTTTCCAATGCGGCCCGTTGAAAAATGGCATCCGGCGCGCGTCGCCACGCCCGACGGCGGCGAACGCGCATTAATCACAGCGAGTGTCGCTTTCCCAAAAGCGTCCCAAAGGCATCCACAGACCTACGAGAGAGCCTTCCAAACTGTCACCTGTCGCTTGGCACTTCTATTCGACAGACTCTCAGACGGAACTCGATGAATGATTAAGTCATACTTAATGAACTTTAAGCTATTGATTTCTCTCGCTGGGCTTATCAGGTTCAAGTCAATTAGAATTTAAATTTAACAGTTTGATAAGTATATACATATGAAACGTTATTATTAGTTTGAACGCTACGTATTGTGATTGAAATGGACAAGAAAACATTATGTCGCTAAAGTCCCCCAAAGTGGTTAGGAAAGGTTAGTGGGCGCAACAGTGACATGTATTTGTTAGTTCGTCATGTAACCTCAATACGAAACTTTTAAATGGTTGAACCTGAAGCGATATTACATATATAAAAATCGCACGCAAATTATGAGAATCAATTGTTACGGTCTGTCTCTGTATTGATGTAACGTAATATTTAAATTATCTATTTATGTATGCGAATTATAAGTGGGATGCGTGTAATGAATCATTTTTACCAATGCAACCCGGTTAACACAATGACAATTGTTCACGAATTTCGTTATATTTTAGCGTACAACTTTTTATTTTGAATAAATCGTAGCTCACGAGAATCGCGAAGTAAATCTAAGTTTTGTGTTGAAATTCCCAGGGACAATGTGGTGCGCCAACCGTTTCATTTTATTTCCCCTTAAAATGTCGATTAAAGGAATCCCGAGCTCCATTCCAATGCTCTGATTCGGTCCTTTCGGGATCCGATGTAACCGTTTTGGGCTGCTATCTCGGCGGGGGCTTTATCCCGCGCGGTTGCCGACGTCGCTTGGCAGCCAAGAAGCAACCCTTTTTGCACGGGACGCATCCCGTCGAATCCTCCGAGGCGGTCTGCCTAATCTAACCAATTTACCTCTGTCAGTGTGGCTGTTTGCTTAATTCGGACAAACCGGCGATGGGAATCCGTTTACTGTAATTTAATGTTTCTGATCCTTTTCACGGATAACTTGACAAATGGCCACTTTGTTGGTTCAAAGAGTTCCTAGTATTAAATTAACGGTATAAACGTAACACTAGACACTGGCTCCACCAAGATTCAGGTGAACAAATCCAAACCATTATCGGATCCCCTAAGAAAGAACGAAAGACTTTACATCGGGAGAAATTAATCACATGAAATGAGAGTTGAGTTGCAGTCTCAGGGGACGGACGGGGCGTAACCAACATTAGGCAATAGCGATAACTCATGCCACATTCTGTTTGTTGTAATTTAAAACCGCGATGGCTGCTACGTGAGGCAATTACGGGGCGGGCGAACATCTGCACTGTCAAGGGAGGACACTCGGAGGCGCATTTTGTACGTTGTACACGCGACCTGATAAATTCATCGAGACAAAGTCGAAATTGCAATGGATCAGGGATATTTGTTTTTCTAAGAACGGACCCGACTTCCGCAACTTAAAGATTGTTGAAATTTAATAACGCCTATTGATCTACGATTTACGCGAATACTACTCATAACTAACCCCACCTAACGTCAAGCTGAGGTCTTGCACTGTTATTACTGTGTACTGTTAGGTTTAATTCAATAAAATATTAGAAACCAACTGGTAACAACGCTTTCAAAATATCCTTACTCAAAACGACCCAAAGGCAGTGTCATCGTTCAAATAAACTAAGTGGACATATTCTTTTAAATAGGTCCGGGTTAAAGAAACATTTCGCGTTGGTAATGTTGACAAATTGAAAATATTGTCGCTATGTGCAATTTGTATATAACCAAATCAATTTATTGATTAAAAACATCTGTCATTTACTTTCTAAATTAAATTATATGTGAGGTTTATATCTAAAGAAAGTCTAATCGTCATAATGTTAATAAAGTAGCAGTGATTAATTTTACCTATAAATAATTGTCCCGATATATATTTTTTCTATACTTAATTTGTGTTTGTTGAACAATTACGTAGAATTTTGTCTTAAAAATTTTTGTTTAATGGTCCGTCCATTATATAGATGTATAACAGATAGTAAATAAAATAACGTGTCGTCTATGTTAAAAAACGATTCACGCGAATTTCATCATTGGTAGTTAGTAATCAATACTAATTATCAATGATGATTTTCGCGTGTTAGCTATTTACCACACAAAAATTATGAATTCATTCAGTCTTCGCTCCCGACTTCACTCGCATTCAGCCGATTTTATTTCGAGCATTTGAAGCTATTGTGACTACATTGTGCGCACCAGTATCTCAGCCACACACACATTTATTTTTCAAATAATTTAAACCTACAAAAATTGTCTGTTCTAAAAATATTTGCAATATAGTCTTTTTGGAATGGTATTTCATAATTTTTTTATATATTAATTAATACGAATGTAATGTAACTTTTTTAGCTACAATAAAAGCTATAAATATTAATGTTATACCATTGAGCATGATGCTAAAAAAATGTTTTTTAAGCTCTTAGTTGAATCATCAGTAAATACTCGTAGATATAAAAGCGGTAGATATAAAGCCCGCCGCCCGCATACCGCGCGGCACATCTGCCCTTCCCTGTTTGCTTCGTACACACAGAACCACTCTTGAAACTGAATTTCAATAAATGTCATTGTTAATTCGACTATAAGCTCTCCAAATGAAAATCTATAAATGTTACAGACGTGAAAGAAGAAAGTTTACGAATAGAAAAATAGTTTACTGAATGTAGGGTCGTTTCTGGCATTTGCTTTAGTATGTTGGACAAGGTTCGATTGTGAAACGGGCTCCCCACGCGCGCCTCGTTCCGACCGTGGCTCGTATCGGCAACGTCGATGGGGCAAGGTCGTACGTGCCGACGACGCGACGGCCCGAGACGGGTGTCATTTTAATGATAAAAGCCTTTTTTGCACTAAGGGAGCGTAAACATCTGCGAGCCGGGGCTTTTACGAGGCGGCGGCTCCGTGCCTCGCTCCCCAGCGGATTGATAAAGCATAGCCTGCGGACACTCTTAATGGATCTCGGTGGGGCTTCGGCCAGTAACGGCATCCTTGCCCCGCACCATTACAACCAGCACCACTGTGATGCCAAGCCGTTAACTCTCAGATCTTTTTCTTACAATGACCGGATTCCAATGTACTAAATGGCAACGTTCACAGTAAGAATGCGTCTGTTATCTCTGCATCACCCAGTACGTTGTATGGTAGAGAATGTCTCAGGTGTTAAATCCACCGATACACGAGATTTGTGAATTCTCAATTCCCCTCATATCATCGTACAGTAAAGCTTCTATTCTTTTGTGTCGTTATTCGTACTTATAATTGAACACATGCCTCGTTAACGTTGGTGGAGTAAATTCATCATTTTCTCGTATGTTAAATTTGTCTGTCACCTGGAATTTATTTCAGCACTCGAGTCACAAAAGGGACAATTACGCGCTAAGTATCCGAGTGCAGCGTAGGTGAGGCGTGGAGCTGCCGAGATGCTTAGCGCCCTGTCCGCCCTCGCCCGATTAATTGATAGAGTTAATTAAACGGTCACCGGCACAATGACCCTTCAGCAGGGCAGGGAGCATTATTTAGAAAAGATGAAAAACGTATTCGCAGGTAGAGAAGCGGGCGCTGATTCTTGCTATAATTATTTATTTATTGGTGAGATACAAAGAACATGCCATTTTAATTCCAGCGTGTGAGAGTTAGGTTATTAAATATGGTGCGAAAATAGTTGTAACGAATTTTTTGTATCAAAAGTTGAATAAATTGGCTGTGATACAATCTATATATTATAAATTTTCACCTTTTTTATAAAGCCTTTCACAATAGAGTGATTTTCGTACGTAGTACATCTAAAGTGAAAGGGTTCACTGTAGTCTGGCGAAGGGTCGAGATTCCAATCCTTTGGGGCCGTGTCGATTGTTATCGGGTGCGATGGCGCCTGCAGCGGGGCCTCGTGTTGGCCGTTTCGAACTTTAATTGCCTGCTCATCTCCGAGGGCACCTAAATTTTGAGGAGGAAATTTTTAATGACACGCCATAAGATAACAACTTCTTCAAAGAAACTATTAAAAGATAATCCTAAGTACATTATTCAACTTACATAATGAACATTGAAAAAGGCAAAGGCATTTCAAAATAGACTTACGCTGATCAAAGTAAACCTTTCATAATATATTACGAAGACAAAGTCATCCCGCTGTCTGTCTGCCCCTATGTATGCTTAAATCTTTAAAACTATGCAACGGATCTTGATGCGATTTTTTTACTAGATAAAGTGATTCAAGAGGAAGGTTTATATGTATAATAGCTAGTTCATTATAATTTCAACGAAAACTTTAGAACATAACTCTCTCACGATTTAAATCTTTCGGTATAGATATATGATATATTTTATCTTCAATCGAGATCACCATTGTCTATACTTACTTAGGCTTGAATCTACTATTGTTCAGTTTCCAAGACAACTCGCAACTATAATTGAACGAGTTTAAACTTGTTGAGCGAACGGGCATAGTTTTAATTCAATCAGCAACCCCTTTAAGGCTGCAGGGGCGCGTCAACGTGTCGGAATGTGTCGGAATGTGTCGGAAGTTGTAAGTGCTTCGCGGCTCGTCTTACCCGTCGCTTACACGAAGTTGCGGCCGCAGCCGACACAGCCGCTCTGCCTTCGCGAATTACCCGTCGGAATCGATTGGCGGCCACCTGGTGTACCTTTAAGTCGGTCACTTATAACATGCAATTCTAAACAATGACTTGTGGCTGACGTCATCTCTTTCATACAGAAGCAATATTTTTAACTGTACATCTGATGAAGCAATCTTTCAAGTTCGATACCAATTTGCTCCTAAGTCGAGGCTTTGTTAAAAGTAATCTTGGATCGGGCAGACTAACTACGACCAATTTTACCTTAAGAAAATATAAGTGTGCGCATTCCCTGTATGAATGAAACCCTGTGGAATTCTTGGCAGTGGCAATTTCAAAACAATTTCGTTGCAACTTGTAAGGTTAGGCAAAGTTGTTTTAAAGAGCGGGTATTTCCACTCTAAAGCATAATAGTACTTTCTGTCTGTCCAAGCTCCAATGACTGCAACTCTATAAAGCGCTAGATTCGAACGCACTAAGAACACTGTCCTCGCGGCTGGGCTCACATCAACACCAAATCAAATCAAATCAAAAATATATTTATTCACATAGACGCTTGCGCGTTCTTATGAAACGTCAACATTTAACATAAAAAATAATACGTTTTGAGTAAGGTACCACCACGTTCTTCCATTTGCCAGTTGGCTTCATATGCTCTTAAGCTACGGCGTGAACAAGTAGACACTTCCCAATCACCTTGCTCCTAGGCATTGCTAAAAGGCGTTGCGATCGTTTATTTTCCTTTTAGCATGGGGAGTGTTCTGGCAAATTGTTGCCAATAAAACCTGCCGCTACATCTCTCAATATTACGTGCCAAAATATTAAATACCAGCTACGCTATCACGATCACCTTATGGAATTGTCTGTCAGTATCACGGGCGACATTTCTTAATCGATACGACTTAAGAATCGTCACGGGGGGAGAGCGTACACGCCGAAAAGGCCGTGAACGTTTTATTTATTTCCAAAAGGTCGTTATATTACAAAACAAAATGAGTGCATTAGATTCTATGACCAAATAACTGTTTGTAACGGGTTATTTACATTATCATCGATATCGTTTGAACTTTTATGAAGTCTCACGCGTGTAATTACACTGCGCCGAAGTCCGATCGCGCAGTTCCATCGGCGCCATTCCTAGTATTAGATATAATCGCTATTTCGATGCGCTCTGCCCATAATGCGATATCTGTCCATTGCCCGATTATCGGTTTCGTCTGCACTTAGGTACTGAACAAAATAGAAAAGAATTTCGAACTAGCACTATCCTATCTACTACTATACTATCTAGTAGAAAAAAGATGAAGAGATTTTCATCGGTGTGGTAATCAGCCGTTTAGTGGTTAAAACATCTAGGCGCGAATCCGGAAGGCGGGGTTCAATTCCCGCAGCGGCGAGAGACAAGTCGTCCTTTCTTCTACTAATTATAATTTATGTTTATTAGTGGCATTCCGACAAATTTTACGTTTCACTCAACTACACTTCAGTCCAGTGGGCAATTCCAGAAGGCGTGAGTGGACTTAATTTTTTATTTTTTTTATTTAAATAAAAAGAGTAAGTCGGTTCCTAGCCTAATTTGCATATTACGATTTAAGTATTAGTGTAACGATTCTTTAAATTAATTTAAATATTTTTTCTCTGCATTTGAAGCGCAAACGTGATAATTGCATAATAAAGTCTTATCTAGAAACATTTTTTTTTCTAAAATAGACGTTTTCAAGATTTTCTCGTCTCATTTATAAACTTACTAAAAATTCCTCAATTTACTTTAAGGACAAAGCAGCTATAGATTGAAACTGGAAATGATTTTAACGGCGTAGGTGTTCGGACTTTTTGTATTATTATTTACAAATTATGCAGATTTACGCCCAATGTTTCCCATCACCGCTGAGCACGTAATAAGTGAGCATTTAAAATTGCAGTTAACAATTCCATTGGTGCTGGCACCGGAATTTAAACACGGGTTGCTCGAGAACATTGAATTAAAAGCGGGCGCCCGTAGACTGAGCTATCGCAGCTCTTTCTTTCAATTGTAATAAATGTCTACATGTTTTGGCTTTCATAATTATTCGGGAAGTTTTTCGGAGCATTGGAGTAAGTCGTACAATTCCAATAATCTGAGTCAACTCAAATCATCAATAGATAATTGCAAAAGCTTATTTCAATTTTAAGTCTCTTTCTTAAGTTTAAATAGACTAGACTTAAATCTCTTCAAATACTAACTTTAATATTCTTAAATATTTCACTTAGCGCAGATTCTCCCTTAACGCCGTATTCAATTTCGGAGGCATCTCCACGGTCTATGTCCTGGCGTATCATTTAAATCCGCATTAAGACGTCTCGTAGACGTTCGGGGGAGGCGTTTTAATTAATTTTGTTTGTTCATTCGCTTTGATGATCGATCGCTAATCGCTCTAAGCCCGCGATAATCGGGCGCTCGTAGATCATTTCCATTAACATGCCATTAGAGGCGGTCCGAGCGCGGGGGTGGGAGTAACAATCGATCTGTGATTGCGGAGTAAACGGCAGGCCGAGGAGTGGACCCATATCTGCCGATGGCCGGACTCTGGAACGGCCTCGGCGGTGGGTCTCGCGGGCAGTGCAATAATCATTTCACCAACGCCATCCTTTTGTCTCACCGTGAACAAATATGTAAGCTTCGGTCATAATTTAACGAAAGCGGTGGAACTATATCATACCTTAAATAGGCATTTGTACAGATACTACAGTTTCATTCGTACTTATAATACGAATGCCCTTATCATCGTAAGTGTCCACGTGACTGCAATATTAAAGCGTACAAAACTTTTCGAAAGGCGTAGAGCAGCGGGGTCATGAATATTGTAGGGCCCACGCGGCGTATCGCTCGCGGTGCCCAAACAGTTGTCGCTTATTTGTGCGAGCAAATAGTTTCATGTATTGACATGCTGTATGTTTCAGACCTGAACATTGGTTTGCGTTTAGATAAACAGGCACAAAAATGTCTGGTCAGATAATTGTTTTACAAATACAGCTGTGAAAAATAACTATATATCGAGTTTTCTAAGGCATATGTACCTCTTGCCAACTTAAAGTGGTTATAACGGCGTGGGTGTTCGGACTTGAATCCTTCATATCGGCGTTACTTAGCCCATTGTTGAGCACAATTATTCTCTAATCCATCACACATTGTGATGTTCATTTCCCGGCGAAAGGATTATTTAAATGCGGCGTTAATTCGGAATTCTCCCCCGAGTATCTGTGGGCACGCGGCTCGGTGGCTCTCGGCGCGACGGGTGCCAGATAAAGTTTAATCCTCTCCATGAATTACTTCTATTCGAAATGGTAATTACAAAGATCTCCCGCCGATAGTGCGCACGTTGAAATGGACGCTCGTTTCTAATCTTGCAAATGATCCTATCAGTTGGGTTTCAATTCGCGACTTTGACTTTAATCTTTCATAAGTAGGCGGAGTGTTTTATGGGACGTTAAACGTATGTTGTTTAATTTATGTCAATTCTTTACATAATAATTAACCAATAAAACGATATGCGTTGCTTACGATTGGAACACATCAGTTTATAGTAGAAGAATAACCTAAAACAAATTAATATCAAAGTCAAAACAAGCTATGAGTGATCTCTGCATGCAATGCATACTAATGCATTATAACACAGCAATTCGTGAAAAACTTTGATTCAGTTTCAATATATCTAAATATTTTCTTAAAAAATCAGTGAAATAAACGTTGATCATCATATCCATATTATTTTCTCTCCGTGAGCCATTTTAAATTGCTACGTGTAAATATACATAAAATGCTACCGCCAGAAAAATTACGTGTTTCAGATGATAATCGACTTAAAGATAAAAAATCTTTGAAATGCCAGATGAACTTAATACGTTAATTCTTTTTAAAAAATCGATTAATTATAAAATTTGTTAACAATTATATTAAATTAATAATAAATTTAAACAAATAAATAATATATAATAATGAATATTTAAAATCGTCTCGTCTGGGAGCCGACTCATTTGTTCGGCAGGCGGCCAGTGGGTCACGGAGTCGTAACGGTCCCTCAATAAACGGCGCCCGCAATAAAGCAGCCCAGTTGCGAGCGCAACTACTCGTCCTCCCGCCGGATAACACTACACCCACAGTTAGTGCAACAACAAGCATACTAGTTCGCCCTCGCCTCCGAGCACGGCGAGACCAACACAACGCGTACACAAGGTACACCCGCGTTCCGGGGCGGTTCTCACCGCTCCCAGCCACCGATTAGCTAATTGCACAGTCGACGGCCATCGGGGTTTCGGTCCGAACCGCGACCTCGATGGCCCTTAGATGACATATCACACTTAAACGTACGCATGAGCACATGCGTGGCCCTACCCACAGCGGAGGGCCCAAACCCGTGGGTTCTGGCTAGCCCACCGGTTCTGCGTCAGATGAAGCTTTAATAGTCTCGGGACTGAAAGCACAAACATCAGTTAATACAAGATACAAGAACTACTCGTCCCGAAACAAAGACGCCTCCCCGGTCCCCCACTACGACAAAACGACGCTTCCGTATGACGACTTAATTACACGCTTCTTTATGACCTAATACATTTAGTCGTTAATTTCTGACAGTTAAACGGCTTTGTGCCACAAATGACAAAACGTATCTCCACCGAAATCTATATTAATGCTTTACTCCCGCGGGTATAGGAACAGTGAATATAAGTCAGATAAAGATAATGACATTTACGTAGATTTGGTGTGTTTTATTGAAAGACTATTCACTGAAATTAATGAAATCGATTGAAGTTTAATTTACGTTAATACAAAATCACAGTGTATTTAAGGATTGCGTGGCATCTTTGGGACAATTGTGAAGAGCGATGTCCTGTTTACATCTGTCTACTTTGATACATCCTCGTGAGTAATAAGAAACGAAAATAATAACTCTCTTTTTGTGCGCTCCCTTTGGGGCAAGAGTGATAAAAATAGTTAAATGTCAACAATGTGAATAGAAATACCTATAAATGTTGCGACAGCCGCAAAACGGGAGATTATTTATAGCGAAGCTTGTGTGAAAGTAGTCTACAAATATGTCCCTGTAGTGACGCAGGCACTGTTCCTATAATCTGGAGAACAATCTCACGCGCATCGCACCAGCTCAACGTGAACCCCGACGCTTAACGGAAGCTTCCCCCTAATCGCGACAACTGCCCAAGTCGGAGGGGGGAGAGGAGACTCTTGCTACGATAGTCGGAATAGGTGCAGGTGGTCGCTTCGTATGCTATTTTCGCTGCAATATCGACCCGCCGCTGGTCCCATGTCACAGTTAAGTGGACACGTTGTTGGCCGAGCGGGCAGCGGGGCCCAGGAGGGGCGGGGAGGCCGTCACCTATAATTGTTTCCCCGTCATATTTTTATTTATTCATATCGGATCGAAGTCGGGTTCAAGTTAATGCCAAGAGTGTCTTTAGCCCCACTTAATTCCTTTATAGCTGACATACCGATGACGAAACAAACGGGGTTACACGTGGCCGCGACTTTATGATATTATACATTTAATGACCCAATATTGTGCAAAATGTGACACCGAAAATAATCACGTATAAGTAAATAATAATTGGGAACAAGCATTCTTAATCTGTTGAGACGCTAAAAATGACATAATTTCGCCGGATGTTTCATAATCAGGACGTAGCACGCTGAAGCGGTGTGACGGTGGGTGGCGCTGAGGCATCGGCGCATCAACTTCCTTAATGCTCTAATGACGTCTAACCTCATCACGGTTGGAAACTAATCTCGCGTCTCCCGGCGCCGGATTTATGCAGTCTTCTCCATTTTTGATCACAAATAGTTAAATAAAACTATTTTAAAGATTTTATCGCTATTAAATAATTGTTTTCTAAAATTTTCAACGCTTCGGACACATTACAAGAAAGAGATCGGAGCAAATTGCACTGAACAAATTGAATTATATTATCTACTTTGTTAAATTGAATAAGCAAAAAAGGTCTAACAAGTGTAAACCTTCGGGACATACAGAAGGAAGAGAAACTAGCACAAAGAAACAGAGAAAAGCAAATTACATTATAAGTATAAAAAACGTGATTCGTTACAATAAATAAAGATTCCAACTGAACGTCACATATAGATAGGACGTCATTATTTCATTCGTTCTATTTCAAAGAGCTTTTACTTAGTGGAGCAAGCTCCATGCTTTGTTTTCGGCACGCGCGTTACTCACCCGCGAGAATAATATGTTTTAGTCGAAACGATTACGTCGAACAATGCTTTGTCAGTGGAAATCATACCGAATAATTGAGTACCTATCCCGCCCATGGCACTACACTCTCGACACCCAAAACTAGACTCAATCCACTAACTAGTTCCATGAGCAACTCGTTGCAGTTTGGTATGTGGGATGTTTATGTGTGGGAAGTTTAGATATTGGATTGCAATTACTATTAAAAGCAATCGACAAGATAAGAAATAACTTTCTTATCTATGGATGTAAGTCGTTATAATACTGATGTTTAAAAATTTATCTCAAATAAATCACACAAACTACCAAGTGTGTGAATAAGAGCCAACAGACACCCGCCTGGGCACTAGTACCTGGCTATTTTTCTCGCTTTAGCGTAACACCTTGCATAAATGTCGTTCACATTGATAAAAAGTGAAAATTGTTAAACGCTGAATCGCTCAACAGGCATTTGCATAATTTCGTTCGTAAACAAATGGGTGGCGCGGCGCGGAGCCGGCATACTAAAAAACAGAGCTTTGCGTCAGCGCTTAGTAAACGTGGACACATCGCGACGAGCTTAGCGCACGACTCAGCTGTTCGTGTATGTACCTATTGCTGACTTCGGCTTTGCAAAACATTTTTTTTGTGGATGAGGGTCATTCTTACCGTTTCGTCTGTTTTCAAAAAGCACCAGTTATTACTGTGGTAAAGCCACGCAACACCTTCTGCCGTTGCACGAATGGGCAGGCTCGTCCGAGAAAGTAACAGTACACTTTTGCGTTTCATCTGGTGAGTTAGTTAACCGGGGCCCACGATTTTGTGTACATCAATTAACATCATGTGAACCACCTGTTCGCTTGAAAAAAATTGCTGCATTTCTAGCATAATAAAATCATTATCTTAAAATTGTACCTGGATTTGCGACGGAAATATAAATACATTTGAATATGGTAAGTATATATGTTGTTCGAAATCCGTTACTTTAAAAACTGTAAAACTGTAAAAAAATATAATTATGTTAATTAATCATTACTAGTACTGTGCCGATAAAAATTTACTGGTAATCAATTGTAATTGATTAGATTATTAATTGATTAATAGATTGACAGTACTAGATTGATTTTACAGTTTTCCTGTAGGTAAACTGTAAAATTTAATATTACCGAAACATTGACACACCTACACGTGTGAACCCGGAAACCAAGTGAGCTCAAGTAAGTAAAACGAACAAGCTTGAGAATGAATACAGGCTATCTGTCGCGAGAAACGATATCGGTGTCCGTAAACGCGTGTACTCGTCAATCCCTCCCAAACCGTCCTGCAGACGTGCTTGGGAGCGTTGTCACGCCGCATCACGCCACGCCGAGTCGGGGAATACGTTAAGCGAATGTAGCACATTCGTTGCGCCCTCGTCACGTGGACCGACTAGCGATTTCATTCGGCGCGTTGCGCTCTTAAACACACGTACATTATTAGTGGTATTTATTGCAACCGAAATTAAGTTGCGAATTAATCTTTATTTTCCCTATGTTACATGATTTTATTATATATGTTATATATATGTTATTTGATTTTATCAACTTAATCTTATTACTCACACTTGTGTTACTGTTTGTAACTTGAAACGGTTACAAGTGAGACATTCATTGGTACACATAAAATATAACACTTAGAGTAGGAGCAAATAAGTAGAATTTCAAGTATAGAAGCTTAAGCAATCTAGGATGAGAGCTTTTGTATTGTATTGTTCCGGCCGTAGTGTCCGGCTTTTATTACATGTCTTGTAATTTAGGAGTACTTTGCCGAGACTACTTTTTTCGTACATTTAATATACTTGTATTTTATATGATAATATAAAAATATATTATATGTATACGAAAGTATCAAAGACGTCAGTCAACAAAAGGTTCAGACGATTTTGAAAATTAAAACGTGTCAATTTTTACTTCACAAAATTGGGTGTCGAAATAAAACACTTATTCGAGTTCCTCAGATACCGACGTGACAGAAGCAGATATTAATCTACGAAATTGACTAAAATTTCAGTCCTCTTTCTACTGTAATTCAAACAGTCTCGATAATAAATTAAATATTTTGTATTTATTTGCTTGTTTACTTTTCAAATCAATGAGTCGATAGCGCCCGATAATAGACATCCTAAAGGTAGTGTCAAGATCCAGAGCGTGTCTGCGCTGTCTGCGGCCCAATGAAGCTATAATTAAACAGCTCTCACCTAGCTTGCAAACACCAAGATGAACTTGTGCCGTCAGTAGGGGGAACAATCCTTTCGCAATTATGCCGTACTGTCCTTAAGAACTGCACACTTGCAGACTCATAAATAGAGATTTGTTTTATGATTCTCTACTCTGGAAATATAATCGTGACTTACTTGTGACGTTAAAAAGGTACCTTCCTCCAGCGCGATCGCTATTAAGGCGCTATTGCTGTCAAAATTAATAATATATGAATGTGATGTCTGACAAAATAGCAGTATACGGTGGTAACTTACGAACGTGTTAATTTCTTTGCAAAATTTTGACGTTTCATAAGAACGCGCAATCGTCTATGTGAATATAGATATTTTATTATTATTATTATGTGGGGATATTTATTTGTTTTCTCGTCTGGTTCGGTTTATAAATAAAAATAAAACAATAGATATAAATATTTATATATAATACATACATAAATAGGACCCAACCAGACGGAAGCCCTCGGCAGAGCAGACCAAACGGCCGAGGGTTAGGGTGAGAGGGAGAGAAACCGGCGGACGATGCGGACGGTATCGAGGAGCACCGCATTATATTATTATTATATAAATACAAATTTACCGAAAAAGTATAGTATATTTTCCGTAGTACTTTCCGAAAGATGCTTTGTTAAGACATGTATATACACTTTCGGTTTTTTGCAGACTCTATAAATTAAAACAGTAAGAGTAGTAGTGTAATAATTCGCATTAGGAGCATTATAACAACGGATCGTGTACCAAACATCGCTGACGAGGCTTAGATAGATCCATTACTTCACGCGATATTCACTTAACTGCTGCGTCGCTTAACACACTAATTGAACTAACCTGTTGTAATAATAATACTGATACTGATGATATGTATAAATTGTACACTCTAAAAATTTTAATTTTGTTGTTGAATTTGGACCTAGACTTTCAAAAGTTTAACTTAAATCAGAACTGAATGACAATGTGATCTCACTGTTCCGCAAAATTTAAAACCTGGTTATCTTGTCGATTTCTTTATACGTTCGACATAACCAATTTAAAATAACTTTCAACGGCTCAAGATCGGTGAGTAAAACTTTATTTATTAGAATAGAATAATTATTCTTATGCTATTATAAAAATTGCACCATGCCTGTAAGGCATCACAAATGCTGTGGACAAATCTGTCTTTTTGTAAGGATAGAGAGTTATCAAGTTATATTATAAATGCATCAGGACTATAGATCTAAATTCCGACTGGAAATGTTTCTTTATCGGCTACTTAAAAATAAAAGCAAAGTACGCCTATCCTCCAAGAGGGCAGCTAATTTGGCCACCCTAGACACGGAGCGATAAGTTAATTGTTCTGTAAGCTGTGGCTCCGCTTCTCGTTCTGTACTCATACTGACGCTTAATATTGTCGTCTCAGCATTACTTACACCTCTTTCTATATATGTTTTATGTATATTACCTATACATACCAATAATGAAACTCATATTTAACCTCGTCAGCAGCAGAGAACGTTTTTTTTTTGTAATAGTGCTAATCATATAGAAAGCTGTAGTAACCTAGTGAGGTCTATAAATCTAATATGTTAATATTTCAGTATGGAAATATTATTTGACTAATATTTCCATACGTACGAATCTACAGACAGGCAATATTAAATAGAATTTAAAAATATTTTACCGACTTCCTAAAAGTTCAAAATCAATAGATTTTCCTCGATAAGAAATTTTATTTGACTGTAATATAATAACGTCCTGATATATTTACTTATAACTTCAACCAAACATTTAAAACAAACATTCCATAAACGTTTTAAGTCCAATATAGAACCACATCATATCGATTACATATAAAATACACCCCAAAGTAAATATAACTTATGAGCAAACTAACCCAAATTACTCAAATACAAAGAGGATAAACTGGTTCACGTAATGCTTGATAATATTTGCTAAAGATTTGGTTCAAAAGTGTTGATGAATTTTAGTTTTCAAATAGATATACCTTTTATATTCAAAAAAGATAGCCTAGATAGACATCCTTTGCATGTCTTTTACATTATGATGACGCCGACTCGACGAAACATGTCGCACTAATTGTAGTAATCCGAAGATACGCCACCACAGCAGCCAACGGCATCCCTGTGTAAACTATGTTCGGCGCTGCCGATAGTTGCAGCGACCGCACGACCGCGATCGACGACAACTTGGTCACAGCTTAGGCGTGCCACGCGTTTGCAACGGAGACGATTTGCGATATTCAATTAATATTCACCAGCCTCCATCTTGAGCTACATCAAGTGCGATGCGCGTCTAGTTTCTCACTTCTAATTAATAAACACTGACATGTTGATGTAAGCTTTGCAAATGCCAAGTAAGTTGTGTCCATAACTTCATATCATAAAGTTATGGACTTTGAGCGAAATTCATTTTATGGATGTCGCATATACGTACGTATAATGCAATTCAAACGACGGATAAAATAATTGAAATAAGGGGTTATTTAATACAATAATAATAACTATGCAGTGCTCATGGGTATAAAGGAGAGCACTCCAGTGGTAAATATTGAGGCCCATCAGTAGAAGATTGCTGTTATGTTAAAAAAAAAGCTTTAGCTTCGGGTGTTTTAATCTAGGAGATTCTCCGACATCGTAGGCACGTCCACAAAGCCAGATGCCCTTTGAGAAACCTAAAGAAAAGAATCACGTTCAATGCTACATTTTTCATATAGATTAAAATATTGTTTCTACTGGCGGGCGATGTGATTTGAATCATAAAGAACTTAAATACATTTATTCATCTTATCTCTCTGAAATTTATTTTTATGCACTAATTGTATTATACTTTTCTACTGGTACGGATGTTAACGACGGAAATATTGATAGAAAATGGACTCTCAATGTGTTTGAGCCGAGTTCAACGTATAATATTGACGTATTAGAAGTATCATAAAAAATATCTGCGCAAATCCGCAATCCGTGCGATCCGCACCGAGGCTAGGCGGCACAGGCGCTTCAGCGCGACACGTGTACTGTGTCCATTGTCATGTTTACGCTTCCCACAACACAAAATTTGCGCACGTGTTTTTCCAACGATGTAATATGTGATGGCCTCACCTACCTGTGTTTGAAGCACGTCTGTACCGTTGCATCCTGCACGTTCTTTCAATGAAATGAGTTGTTTTGTATTGTTGTAGATGCGCTGCTGCGTGGCCACGCTGTGGCTGTCGACGCTGATCGCGTTGGTGGCGTCTGCCCCGTCCTCCGCCGAGGATGCAGCACCCCGCGACTCTCCCCTGGCCCAGGCGAGTCACACCAACCCGCGCCTTCTGTCGAACTGAGCTTTACCTCACCTATCCAGATATAATCTTAGTTTTAAAACACTTACACTACAACTTTTACAATCAAACATCCAACGTGAACTTTCAAAAGACCGAGATAAGGTTTTGAAACAGTTCAGGCTTAAAAAAAAGGATAGAGTACTAAAGATACTGGATGCCTAACTTGATAAATACATAGCACCGCCACAACCTTGTTACCACATTCCCCAAATTCGATATAGTCGTGCTAAATTTACAGATTAGTGAAGAACGTTTAGGACTGGACAGTTGAATATGCGGCGTTTAATATCGGGAGTGTAGGGGCAGGATGTTTGTCGCCGGACTGGGTGCCTTGCAAACATGCCAAGTGGGGAGCGTGAGGCCAAAGCTCCAGGGGGCCGATAAGGAGTCGCCCGTAATTCCGTCGTAAGGCCTCATAGTGACGCCTCAACGAGGGGGATCAACACTATACACATCTAAGCGAAACTATAAAATGCAAATTTTTATTCTAAACTAAGTATGGTTAGAACACGCGTATCGGGTGAACGCCAGAACGCTTGCCACCTTCTCACATTAAAATAAACTATTTCTTTTTCTTATACACTTAGGCTTTCGCCAAATTAACTTTGTATAAAAGAATCATCTTTTAAGCGATTTTACAGTGCATAAATACAGAGACTGCCTACACCCAGTAGGCAGTCTCTGTATTTAATTATATTCCCTTAAACGTCTCTGAATAAACAAAGGAAAATATTAAAGAGGGATGTTTAACATTTCATATTTCCTTTAAAAAATTGGGGACAATATAAAATAATTTTGTACTTTCGAAATCATGTTTTCAAAGTAAATACACTATAAAGTATAGTAAGTGAACAAAAAATTATTGTGAAACTGCATCGTAGGACGTAAATGTTGTTTTAGTGACAGCTAGAGAATGAAGTCGTAAACATTTTACCCACAAATGTTGTCGATATTGAGGAAGATAAAAGGAAGATGTCGTTGAAGTGAGAGTAGCGAAGAGCTGAACACATCTCCGGAGCCGTCAAACTTTCAATTTGCCCATCGACCCTCTTTTGTTTTATTGGCGCATGTTACGAACACACGATAGCATCGCAACCCGCAACGCTCTGTCAGAGCGACGTCGACCCTTACAAGCAAATGTCTTGAGGGCGATGTGCCGCGGAGTTTGCAGCAATTTAAATTCATCAAATGGTGAACTAATTAAAAAATCTTCGCTTTGCACATATCTAACAAGTACGACAACAGTATGCCACTACTTGTTAGCTCGTAGGTTGTTATTATTGTAATGACAAATCGTATGAGATAACTTTTTCATGCCGCTCGCAGCAGTCGTGACGAACGCACGCGCGCCGCGTTCACTCGTAATTTTTATTACGAGTGGGCACCCCGCTCGCAAGTCGAGTTGCGAGGTGCAGTTCTGACTGCGCCGATCAACACGCTTAGCAGCAGCTCTGTTTCGACGTCTTAGGGCTAGTGGATACCTAACGGTGATAACGAAGCTAGCCAAGGCTTGCCCCGATCGCCTTGCGGTTCTCTCCTGAGAACCGCGAATCTTCGGAAGGGACCACCATCACTGGCCTTGGGTGTAGTCCCTAGTCAGCGGTGGTTCACGTTTGGCCTTTTAGCGCCCTCGGGTAGTTTTAATTAGCTATAAGTACACACCCGTGTGCACAATAAGATCGGCACAAGGACGCACTAGGGCCACACAATTTAGGCACTGATCCTCCCTGCCTACACCCGGCAGGGAGGGATACGGGCACACACCCCGGCATCCCACCGGGCGTATTAAAATATTACGTCGTAAATAAAAAAACGGCCGAAGTAAAGGCCATCCTCCAACTTCTCCGGGAAAAGTTCCCGGAAGCTATCCCCGACACCCTTGAGGTGTTACGGGGACTCTCAAGGCCCTCTTCAAGGGTATCCTCGGAAAGCGCCGAAGCGAACTCCTCCTCCTCGCAAGAGGAAATGGAGCTCGATTCGCCGCTCTCCCCCGACGCCGATGAAGGCGGCTTGTTCACCCAAGTGGTGAACAAGAAGAAGCGCAAAAAGCGCTCTTCGCAGCCGTCCTCAGCGGCTCCGTCCCCCGTTCCGCCAGTCAAGGCGCCAAGGCCGACCGAATCGGCCACAGCCGGGCCCTCAAGGCCCACTCCCCCGACCCCATCGCCTTCAGCGATTCAACCCACCCCGGTTGCCTCACAAGCAACCCCCGCGCCTCCCGCAGCCCCCCGTGCGCCGCAGGACAAGCGCCCTCCACCCCTCTTCATCAGGGACACTGACAAGTGGCCCATGATAGCATCTGCCCTATCCAACAGGCTAAAATTCGTTGCTACGACGACCGCCCAAGGTATCAAGCTCCAGCTTGAAACCTCTGACGCCCACCGCCAAGTCTCTAAATTTCTTAGGGACAAGCAAATATTTTATCACACCTATACGCTGGCCGAGGACCGTATCCTCCGCGCCGTAATTAAACGCATTCCCGCCAACATTCCCACCGAAACGGTTTTAGAATCTCTTAAAGAGCAAAACCTCCCCATCCATTCGGTCCACCGCATGAAAAGCAAAAGAAAGCGCAGCCCTATTGACATGGTCATGGTCCATTTAGACCTCTCTCCAGAGGGGAAAGCAATCTTCAATATTGTATCAGTCATGGGACGGACCAATATTGTCATCGAACATTGGCACAAGGCCACCCTCCCGGGACAGTGCCACAAGTGCCAAAATTACGGGCACGCCGCCCGTAACTGTTTTGCCAAGCCCAGGTGCGTAAAGTGCCTAGGCGACCACGGCACCCCGGAATGTCCCAGACCAAGGGACAAGGCCCTTCTGGCCAACTACGGTCCACCCGCATGCGTCCTCTGCTAGTCGGAAGGACACACAGCCAACTATCTTGACTGCCCGAACGCACCTAAGCGCACACCCATTAGGCCCGCCCCTCAGGCAACAAGATGGCAGCCGATTCCAACGGCCGCCTCTTTCCCTCCTCTTCGCCCCGCGTGGCAGAACCCCATGGCCCCCGCTTGGGTCAAACCGAATCCGCCACTCGCGGAACCCAAAGCTGCCCCTCAACCGGCGCTCATCCCAACACCACCAAAAGCGGCCGGGGGCCCCCTGGACTCACTAAGTCAACTCCTCCGAACCGTCGACATGGCGGAGGTAATGTACTTTGCCGAGCAGTATGCCAAAGGCAACTTCAGCTCGCGATTACTCCTTCTAGACCAGTACCAGCACATAGTTGCTGCGCTCTCAGTTTAAACCGAACATGGATAGTACAACTAGAAGCAATAATAACGAAAATATCAGTCCCTCTGCCACGCGTAATAATGGCAGAGTCAAACCGCGATCGATCAACGTAGCTTTCTACAACGCGAACGGGCTCAAAGAACAACGCGACGAATTACGTATTTTTCTGCGCGATCACCAAATCGACGTATTACTAATACAGGAAACGTTCCTGAAACCCGCGACAAGGGATCCGCACATCCCCAACTACCGGATAGTTAGAAACGACCGTGCCGGCGCCCCGGGCGGCGGCACACTAATTTACTATAAAAAAATCCCTCCACTGCGTACCGGTAGATACGCCCGCTCTCACGCATCTCGAGGCCTCCGTCTGTCAGCTGGCATTAACTGGCCACTCTCCCATCACTCTAGTATCAGTCTATCTCCCTTGCAGACCAACCGCAACTATATTGCAATCCGATTTTGAGGCCCTCTTCTCCATAGGAGGAGCCACCATATTAGCTGGCGACTTCAACAGCAAGCATATCCGATGGAACTCGACACGCACCAACAGTCGAGGCACCGCACTCGACTCGCTATCCGACAGGCTCGACTTTGAAGTTGTAGCCCCAGTCGAACATACGCACTTCCCTTATATAGAGGGACAATCATCGGATGTGCTTGATATTGCAGTCGTCAAAAATATCAATCTGACCATGCGCGACCCGGAAGTGATTCACGAGCTTCACTCTGATCACCGACCAGTCCTCCTTCGGCTAGGGCCCTCAGCAATAGCCGCCCCCCAAACCAAAACAGTCATTAGCTGGCATAGAGTCAAAACTAAACTTAATGAGCCCAATTCAATATTAGAGTCCATCCCCGACCAACTCAACAACAAACAGGACACGGAGACCGCAATTCGGGCCCTCACGAGTCACGTCAACACCGTCGTCGAGTAATGCTCGAGACAGGTTCCAGCGATGGACGACCATCGCTGGGCCCTGCCAGACGATGTACAAGACTTACTGAGGCGCAAGAATGCGGCCACACGCGCCTACGATAGATATCCCACCGACTCGAATCGTAGACTGCTACGTAAATTGCAACGTGAAGTCAAAACACGTATAGCAGACTCACGAAACGAACGGTGGGACTCCACCCTAGTCTCAATAAAACCGTCCCACCAAGCCTTCTGGAAACTTCCCAAATCCCTCAAGGGTATTACCACTCCAAACATGCCATCACTAGTTCGCCCGATAGGAACGCCAGCAATGCTGGACGAAGAGAAAGCTGAATGCCTAGCTGACAGTCTAGAGGCCCAATGCTCCCCCAGCTTGCTTCCGACCCACCCCGATCACCTCCGTAAGGTGAACGAAGAGGTCGAAAGGAAAGCATCGGAACCACTCCGCGATCCCGTTCCCCCGGTCACGTGCTCGGAACTCGCAGAAACAATTAACAAACTGCGCCCACGCAAAGCGCCTGGCTCAGATGGTATCACCAATAAGGTGACCAAACTTCTCCCTACTAGCATCCTTCAGATACTAGTCTTAATTTACAACGCGGCTATAACCGAAGGCTTCTTCCCGTCCGAGTGGAAAGAAGCTGACGTAATAGGGTTCCTCAAACCTCACAAACCCGCGACCCTCCCAACCTCTTATCGTCCAATAAGTCTTCTCAAAACATTTGGGAAGATCTTTGAAAGACTAATATTAGCCCGACTAAGATCCCTTATGGACGCCAAAGGG